CCCGTCCCGGAGCCGCCGGGCCTCCCCGTCCCCGCCACGGGGTCGTCGCGTCTCCCCTTCCCCGCCGCCACCGCGGGGCCGACGACTCTTCCCGCCGGGCCCGGCTAGCTTCCGAGCTAGCGGCCGAGGGGAGTCGCGCTCCGACTTCGCCCGGGACGGCCGCGGAGACCATCCAGGCGACAGCGGCAGCCGGGTAATGGCACCTCTCGCCCGGGACGCCCTCCGTCCCTCAGCCCCCTCGCCCCACACCGCACTTCCCGCCTCCAGAAACGCGGGCGGCCGGCCCGAGTCCCGGGGTGGAAACCTCCCTGGGCGCGGAGGCGCTGGAGCCCCAGCTCCCTGGGCCCCGGGCGGGCGGGGGGGGGGGCTTCGTGTACACAATAACGGACTTGGGACCCGCTGCGCCGGGGCCCGGCCCGGTCCGGGTCGGGAGGGAGCGCCTGGGGTTAGGGTGTATGCTTTTTGAAGAGGCCGTTTCTTGTTCGGTGCTGGGAGATGTGGGAAAGTTGGCCAGGGCGAGGGGACTTTCTCCCAGCCCAGGTGCCGCCTGGGACTCGGTGGCGAGTTGACGTTTCCTCGGGTTCCTTCCCTCCCACCCCAGCTTAGAAAAACAGCGTGAAAAAGCTGTCTTTGTGGCTATGGAGTTGGGGAAGCTTCCGTCCCGCCGCCTGGACGCCTAAGCTGATAGCGGATCCCATTGGGGCGCATAGCGGGTCTTCGTGATAGCTGCCACCTGGACCGGCCGAGCCCTTGGCTCCCTATCCTGTCGGGACCCTTCCAGCCCTTGAGTGGAGCAGATAATGTTGTTTCCAAGTTTAATTAACTTGGTCGTGGTGACACGGCTGTGATTGACTCTGAATTTAACTCACATCTAACTGGTTTCTACGGCCGCGATTTTAAAGCGTTATCTTTTCTTGCTAGAGGAACAGCAGTAATGTCTTAACCGAGAACTTTAATGTGTGGTTGAAGACTTGCCCAACGTGAAAAACGTTGGGTTCCCAGCACCGCATTTAAAAACAAAACAAAACAGCCGGGCATTGGTGGCTCAACAGGTTGAGATCTGAGGATCTCAGTTCAAAACCAGCTAGGGCAGGGAAGTCTGTGACAGAGCTGAAAGTGGAGCTGTGGCTTAAGTGGTTGAGCGCTAGCTTTGAACACAAAAGCTCAGGGAGAGCTGGGAATGTAGCTTAGTGGTAGAGTGCTTGCCCAGCATGCACAAAGCACTGGGTTCAATTCCTCAGTACCACATAAGCAGAAGTGGTGCTGTGGCTTAAGTGGCAGAGTGCCAGCCTTGAGCACAAAGAAGCTTGGGGACAGTGCCCAGGTCCTGAGTTCAAGCCCCAGGACTGGGAGGGGTGTGTGTGAGAAGCTCAAGGATAGCAACCAGTCCCAGAGTTCAAGCCTCCGGATCTACACACAAGCACGTGCGCATGTGCACCTACCCATCCACATTCATACACATTGACTTCTCTGATCACCACCACTCTCATAGAGCACCCACCAGAGGTTGTTTTGGGGGCTTTATTTTAGTTCAATCTTTTTGTTGTTTGTTTCTGTTTGTTTTCTGTATTAGGATTTTCTACCACTTGGGCCAAATCTGCAGCCTGGCTTTTTGCCATTTATTTCTGGAAATAGAGTCTCTGACTTTTCAGCCTCCACCATTCAGATCTCAGCTTTCTGTAGACTGAGGATTAAAAGCTGGAAACTGGTACCCAGATTGTTCTGTTTTCTTTTGTTTTTTTGACAGTCGTGGGGCTTGAACTCTGGGCCCATGTGCTGTCCCTCAGCCCTTCAGCTTGAGGCAAACACTCTACCATTTGAGCCACAGCGCCACTTCCTGTTTCAGTTTTCTTGAGTAGCTCACTTGGATTTAAGTACTCTGGTCATAGGTGAACCAACTTGTTACTTTGTTAAATTTTAAAGCCCTGTTAGTCTTAGTGTCAATCACTAAGGAAGAAGCAAGAACAGAATATTAGTTACCATAATCTCTGTTCTTTCCAGTGTACAATTTGCTCCAGACTTCTCTGTCTCAGCAAATAGTATTATCCAGTGGTTCAAATCAGAAGTTGTCATCTGCCTTCTCTCTTTTTTTTTTTTTGGGTCCGGTTGTGGGGCCTGAACTCTGGGCCTGGGCACTGTCCTTCAGCTCTTCAGCTCAAGGCTAGCACTCTACCACTTGAGCCACAGCGCCACTTCCGGCTTTTTTCTTTTTGCTTATGTGGTGCTGAGGAATCGAACCCAGGGCCTCATGCATACAAGGCAAGCGCTCTACCACTGAGCCACCTTCCCAGCTCATCTGCCTTCTCTTATCAGATTAAACTCTTCTGCCTAAAATGAACTCTTCTGCCTAACCGTTATACTCCTGATTATGTCCCTGAAACTATCTTCCTGTGGTCACACAGATGCAATCTCTGTTACTTACTCCCCAAGAGTTGCATTTTACTCCTTTACATTTCACTCTTCTTTTTTGTGCCAGTCCTGGGCCTTGAACTCAGGGCTTAGGGCTCTTCTGAGTTTTTTTGCTCAAGGTGCTCTACCACTTAAGCCACAGCTTTTTTGGTGATTGATTGGAGGTAAGAGTTTCATGGACTTTCCTGCTTGGACTGGCTTTGAACCATGATCCTCAGAATTCAGCCTCCTAAGTAGCTATGATTACAAGCATGAGCTACCAGTACCCAGCTTACATTCCACTCTTACTATTCTGCATTTTTTTTGGGGGGGGGTCCGGTCGTGGGGCCTGAACTCTGGGCTTGGGCGCTGTTCTTCAGCTCTTCAGCTCAAGGCTAGCACTCTACCACTTGAGCCACAGCGCCACTTCCGGCTTTTTTCTTTTTTCTTATGTGGTGCTAAGGAATCGAACCAAGGGCCTCATGCATTCAAGGCAAGTGCTCTACCACTGAGCCACCTTCCCAGCCCATGAGAAACTTTTCTTTGTCGTTCATGGATTCAAGGGCTTGAACTTGGGTCCTGGTTGTCTCTGAGATCTTTTTGCTCAAGGATAGCACTCTGCCACTTGCAGCCACAGCTTTACTTCCATTTTCTGGTGGTTAACTGGAGATAAGAGTCCAACATGGGCTGGCTTTGAACCACGATTCTCAGATCTCAGCCTCCTAAGTAGCTAGGATTACAGTCATGAGCCACTGGCGCCCAGCTCTGAGAAACTCATCTCCAATTACTAGCAAAAAGCTAGAAGTAGAGATGTGGTTCAAGTGGTAAGGTCCTAGCCTTGAGTGAAAAAGCCAAGTTAGAGCTTGAGGACCTGAGTTCAAGCCCACTTCTGGCACACACAAAACTTCTAGCAAGGTGTTTAATGATACATATTAAATGTGCCGAGTGCTGGTGGCTTACGCCTGTAATCCTAGCTACTCAGGAGGCTGAGATCTGAGAATCACGGTTCAAAGCGCCCGGGCAAGAAAAGTCCATGAGACTCTTACCTCCAATAAACCACTAGAAAACTGGAAGTGGTGCTGTGGCTCAAGTGGTAGAGCGCTGGCCTTGAGCCGAAGAGCTGAGGGACAGCGCCCAGGCCCAGAGTTCAAGCCCCAGGACCAAAAACAAAAAACAAACCCACCAAAATAAATATTAAATGTGATTATTTGCTAAACAAATCAGAGAAGGGAGTTAATAGGATAGCTAAGAAAATGACTTGAAGAGAGTGAGGGGTTAGTAGTGCAAACATCTGGAAGAAAATTATAGTCAAATCACATCGTTTTCTTGATTAATACTCTGTTGTACTTCTTTTTTTTTTTAATTGTGAAAATACCATACAGAGGGGTTACAATTACATGTGCAAGGTAATGAATACATTTCTTATCAAGCATTGTTGCCTCCTTTGTTTCCCCTTATCATCCCTTCCCATCTTCCCTCCCTGCCCCTCCCCCCTCCTCCCTCCTCCACCCCATCCTGAACCCATCCCCCCTCCCCCCTCCTGTCCCCCTCCCACCAAAGTTGTAAAGTTTGTTTTTCGACATAACATCTTGTACATCTCATCTCTTGTACTTAAGAATAAATATGTTTCTTTACCCATGGTTTCTACCTATACTGCCACTTTGCTGCAGCCATATTGGCCTCTTTTTTTGTTATCCAGAACATAACAGTTTTATGACTTCCTTCTGCCTGAAACAGCCTTCAATTTTTTTTTTTTTTTGTCAGTTGTGGGCCTTGAACTCTGGGCCTGCGCACTGTTCCTTAGCTCTTTAGCTCAAAGCAAGTACTCTACCACTTGAGCCACAGTGCTACTTCCCATTTTCTGATGGTTAGTTGGAGATAGGAGTCTCATGGACTTTCCTTGCTTGGGCTGGCTTTGAACCTTAGTCCTCAGATCTCAGCCTCCTGAGTAGCTAGAATTACATACGTGAGTCACCAGCACCCAGCTAAATATGTTTTTTAAGGGACAGTGATTTTTTTTTTTTTTTGGACAGTCCTGGGACTTGAACTCCCTGGATTCAATTGAAGCCCTGGGTTCAGTTCCTTAGTACCACATAAACAGAAAATACTGGAAGTGGTGCTGTGGCTCTCAAGTGGAAGAGTGCTAGCCTTGAGCAAAAGCTCAAGGACAGTGTCCAAGCCCTGAGTTCAAACCCCAGGACTGGCCAAAAAAAAAAAAAGTGACAGTCTTAGAAAAGTATTCTCTCCATTCTGAAGTAACTCCTTTCCCCCAGTCTTTCATGGTATCACATTTGTTTAGGTAATGGTATAATATTTAATGGCTATAGAATTTATCACTATTAAAAAAAGTTTATCTGGGCTTACCTCCTTCACTAGAAATGTATAGATTCTGAAACAGGAATTTAATTCACTTTTCTGTTTCCATTCCCAGCAAGAAGGAGAGGTCTGTGTATTAGAAGATAGGATATAAAAGCTTTATCTCTTACAAAAATTATTACAGTTATTATTTTTGTGTCAGTGCTGGTGCTTAAACTCAGGATCTTAGCACTATCTCTTAGCTCTTTTTTTTTAATCAAGTCTAGCACTCTACCACTTGAGCCATAGCTCCATTTCTGGCTTTTTTGAGAGTCTTACAGACTTTTCTGCCCAGGCTTGCTTTGAACTTTGATCATCAGATCTCAGCCTCCTGAATTGCTAGAATTATAGTGTGAGCTACTGGTATCTGGCAAAACTGATTTTTTTCTTTGTATGGATGCTGATTCTGGAGCTTGAACTCAGGGTTTGGGCACTGTCTATGAGCTGCTACTGCTGCTACTTTTTCCTCCCTGGTCCTGGGGCCTGAACTTTTGGCCTGGATGCTGTCTCGGAGCTGCTTTTGCTCAAGGCTAGTGCTCTACCACTTGAGCCATAGCACCACTTTCAGCTTTTTTTTTTTGGTCGGTCTTGGGGCTTGAACTCTGGGCTTGGGCCCTGTCCCTCAGCTCTTCAGCTCAAGGTGAGTGGTCTACTGCTTGAGCCACAGCACCACTTCTGGTTTTCTAGTGGATTATTGGCGATAAGAGTCTCATGGACTTTTCTTGCCCGGGCTGACTTTGAACCCTGATCTCAGCCTCCTGAGTAGCTAGGATTACAGTTGTGAGCCACTGGAGCCCGGCTTTTTTTTTTTTTTAATGTGATACTGAGGAATTGAACCCAGGGCTTTGTGCATGTGAGGCAAGCACTCTACCACTAAGCCACATTCCCAGCCTTGAGCTTTTGATCAAAGCTAGCACTCATTCACTTGAGGCACAGCACCATTTCAGGCTGTTTCTTTCTTTCTTTTTTTTTGGGTCCGGTCGTGGGGCCTGAACTCTGGACCTGGGTGCTGTTCCTCAGCTCAAGGCTAGCACTCTACCACTTGAGCCACAGCACCACTTCTGGCTTTTTTCTTATGTGGTGCTGAGGAATTGAATCCAGGGCCTCGAGCATGCAAGGCAAGTGCTCTACCACTGAGCCACCTTCCCAGCCCCTTCAGGCTGTTTCTAAGTTTGTTGGAAATAAGAGTCTCATGGTGGGCAGAGAATGTGGCTTAGTGGTAGAGTGCTTGCCTAGCATGCATAAGACCCTGGGTTCAAATCCTTGGTATCACCAAGAGAAAAAGTAAAAATAATTAAAAAGAAGAAAAAGTGTCATGGGCTTTCCTGCCCAGGTTGGGTTTCAATTTGATCCTCAGATCTCAGCCTTCTGAATAGTGGGGATTATAGGCATAAACCACCAGCATCCAACTGACTTTTTTTTTTTTTGTCGGCTGTGGGGCTTGAACTCTGGGCTTGGGCGCTGTCCCTCAGCTCTTCAGCTCAAGGTGAGCGCTCTACCACTTGAGCTACAGCGCCACTTCCGGTTTTCTGGTGGTTTATTGGAGATAGGAGTCTCACGGTCTCTCCTGCCCGGGCTGGCTTTGAACCTCGATCCTCAGATCTTAGCCTCCTGAGTAGCTAGGATTACAGGCGTGAGCCATCAGCATCCTGGCCAACTGACTTTTTTAAAAAATTGCCTTATTGAATCACAACTTTACAAGTAAGAACATTTTAGATATGTGATTATCTTGACTATAATGACTACCATATAATCTTTATTTTTTGAATCTTTGTAGAGACGCTCTCCTAGTCTTCGTTCTGACTCTTCTTTGGAACAGAGCTTAAGGATCACTGTTGGCAATGACCATTTCTGTGTTAGCACACCGGAACGGCGACGGCTTAGTGATCGGCTGGGCTCACCAGTGGATAATCTGGAAGACATGGACAGGTAGGCTTCAGCAAGGGCAGGCCATACTACGCTGGTAACTGGGAAGGCAGAAATGTTTTAGATTTCTAAATGTACTTAAAAGGATGGCTTTACTATTGAAAGTTATTGACTATGTCCATGTGGAAAAGGCTTTCTGATGTAAACAAACTTACTTTCTTTTTTCTTTTTCTCTTTTTTTTGGTGCTTGTCCTGGGGATTAACCTGAGGGCTTAGGCTTTCTTGAACTGTTTCATTAAAAGCTAGTGTTCTACCACTTGAGCCACAGCTTCACTAACAGCTTTTTTGGTGGGTTAATTGGAAATAAGAGTCTCATGGACTTTCTTGCCTAGGCCAGCTTTGAACCACAGTGCTCAGATTTCAACTTCCCGAGTAGCTAGGATTACTGGCCTGAGCCACCAACCCGGCTACCAAACAGGTTCTTAATGAATTATGGAATAAGTGATTGGAGGAAAACACTTTTAAAAGGCCAGCTTGGAACAAATAGAGGTCAAGAGGATATAATCAACAGTCTCTAAATTAAACATAGTTGAAACAGCATGAACCTTAACATATTAGACTGGAAAGTGTAAAGGAAAGTTCTGGACAAAATAGGAATTTGTGCAGGGAATTGAAGGCATAGCTCAAGTATTTGCCTAGTGAGTGCCAGATACTGAGTTAAAACTCCATTACTTTAAAAAAAAAAAAAAAAACCTAGGGGCTATGATCATTAGAAAAGTACTTGAGCGGGGCTGGGAAGGTGGCTCAGTGGTAGACAGCTTGCCTTACATGCATGAGGCCTTGGGTTTGATTCCTCAGCACCACAGAAGAAAAAAAAAGCTGGAAGTGGTGCTGTGGCTCAAGTGGTAGAATGCTAGCCTTGAGCTGAAGAGCTGAAGGACAGCACCCAGGCCCAGAGTTGAGGCCCCACGACTGGACCCAAAAAAAAAATACTTGAGCTACAACCCTTTTGTCCTTTTATTTATTTTTATTTTATTTTTTAATTTTTCTATTGGTCATAGGGCTTGAACTTAAGGGGTTAGGGGCTGTCTCTGAGCTTTTTCGCTCAAGTGTAGCATTCCATCACTTTGAGTCACAGAGCCACTTAACAGTTTTCTGGTAGTTAATTGGAGATAAGAGTCTCTCAGACATTCCTGCCTGGGCTAGTTTTGAACCACAATCCTCAGATTTTAGCCTCCTGAGTAGCTAGGATTATTGAGCCACTGGTATCCAGCTTTATTTATTTCTTTATTTTGAGATAGAATCTTACTACCTTTATCTTAGCTGGTCTGTCCCTCTTTATCTTCTTGCCTCTATATCTCAGGTGGCTAGGATTACAAGCATGGGTTGTCACTATGTCTGGTCAATATTTTTTTCCACGGTAGCAGCATTTGAACTCATGTTTTGTGTGTGTGTGTGTGTGTGTTTAGTTGTGACCTGGGAATGTGGCTAAGTGGTAGAGTGCTTGCCTAACGTGCGTGAAACTCTGGGTTTAATTCCTTGATACCACATAAACAGAAAAAGCCAGAAGTGATGCTGTGGCTCAAATGGTAGAGTGCTAGCCTTGAGCAAAACAAGCTCAGGGATAGTCCTCAGACCCTGAGTTCAAGCCCCAGGACTGGTTTGAGGAACCTCCAGACTGCGGTCCGGAGTGGTTGTACTATATGTTCTTACCAGCAGTGCAATAGGGTTTCTTTTTCCTCAAGTTGCCACCAACCATTTGTTGTTTGAATTCACAATGGTGGCCAATCTAATGGGGGTGAGATGGAATCTCAGAGTTGTTTTGATTTGCATTTTCTCTAGAAGCAGGGACAATGAGCATTTCCTCATGTGTTTCTTTGCCATTCTTACCTCTTCTTTTGAGAATTCTCTCCTTAGCGCTTTTGCCCATTTAATAATTGGTTTATTAGCTTTGGGAGGGGTTAGTTCTTGAGCTCCTTGTATATTTTGGATGTAAGGCCTTTGTCTGATATATTGCTGGTAAAGAACTTCTCCCAGTCTGTTGGCTGTCTTTTTTTTTTTTTTGTCGGTCGTGGGGCTTGAACTCTGGGCCTGGGTGCTGTCCCTCAGCTCTTCAGCTCAAGGCGAGCGCTCTACCACTTGAGCTACAGCGCCACTTCTGGTTTTCTGGTGGTTTATTGGAGATAGGAGTCTCACAGTCTTTCCTGCCCGGGCTGGCTTTGAACCGCGATCCTCAGATCTCAGCCTCCTGAGTAGCTAGGATTACAGGCGTGAGCCACCAGCGCCCGGCTTGTTGGCTGTCTTTCTAGTTTAGTAACTATGTTAGTAGCTGTGCAGAAACTTTTTAGTTTGATATAATCCCATTTGTCAAATCTCTTTTATCTGCTGTGCCCCTGGGACTCTTCAAAAAGTTTCTGCCTAGGTGAGTGCTGGTGGGCTCACAACTGTAATCACAGCTACTAAGGAGGCTGAGATCTGAGGATCACAGTTCAAAGCCAGCCTGGGCATGAAAGTCCATGAGACTCATCTCCAGTAAACTACCAGAAAACTGGAAGTGGCTCTGTGGCTCAAGTGGTTGAGTACTAGCCTTGAGCTGAAGACCTTAGGGACAATGCCAGGCCTAGAGTTCAAACCCCATGATAAAAAATAAAAAAAAAAAAAGGTTTCTGCCTGTGAATTTTTTCTCCTACTCCCCTCTTGCAGTAATCTCTAATTTCAGATCTGACATTGAGGTCTTTGATCTACTTTGAGTTGGTACTTGTACATGGTAACAACCAGAGATCCACTTTTAGCTTTCTTTGTTTGTTTTTGGGTCCGGTCATGGGCCTGAACTCTGGGCCTGGGTGCTGTCCCTCAGCTCTTCAGCTCAAGGCTAGCGCTCTACCACTTGAACCACAGCGCCACTTCCGGCTTTTTTTTTCTTTTTTGCTTATGTGGTACTGGGGAATCGAACCCAGGGCCTCATGCATGCAAGGCAAGCTGTCTACCACTGAGCCACCTTCCCAGCCCACCACTTTTAGCTTTCTGCATATGGATGCCTAGTTTTCCTAATAACAATTATTGAAGAGGCTTTTTTTCCCCCCACTGTGTATCTGGCTTCCTTATCAAATATCAGATAATTGTAAGTATATGGTTTTATTTTGGTTTTATTTCCAGGTCTTCTAGTCTATTCCATTGATCTTGGGGTCTATTTTTGTGCCAATACCAAGCTGTTTTTGTTATTATAGCTCTATAGTAGAGCTTGAGGTCTGAGATTGTGATACCACCAACAGTACTTTTTTTTTTTTGCGTAGAATTGCTTTGGTTATTTGTGGTCTTGTTGCTCCATATGAATTTTTAGATTGTTTTTTTCTACCTTGATAAAGAACTTCGTTGGGATTTTGATGGGGATTGCATTAGATTTGTAGATCATTTTTGGCAGTATGGCCATGTTTTGAACTTAGGGTCTTTTACATACTCAGTTTGCTTACTCAGCTGGCATTCTACATATTGAGCCATGCCTCCAGCCTGGCTTTTTGACAGTTATTTTAGAGATGGCTTTTCTTAGACTTTTCTACCCAAGCTGGCTTCAAATGGCAATCTTCTGGATGTCAGTTTCTTGAGTAGCTAGGGTTACAGATGTGACTGAGTTTTTTTTTTTTTTGTCAGTCGTGGGGGTTGAACTCTGGGCCTGGGCGCTGTCCCTCAGCTCTTCAGCTCAAGGCGAGCGCTCTACCACTTGAGCTACAGCGCCACTTCCGTGACTGAATTTTTTTGTGTGTCAAAATGTATAAATTTAAAAATTTTTTGCTTATACTCAGTCACCAGTGGCTCATACCTGTAATCCTAGCTACTCAGGAGGCTGAGATCTGAGCATTATGTTTTGAAGCCAGCCTAGGCAGGAGAGCACATGAAACTCTTTTTCTCCTTCCTTCCTTCCTTCCTTCCTTCCTTCCTTCCTTCCTTCCTTCCTTCCTTCCTTCCTTCCTTCCTTCCTT